CATGGTGTGGGTGGCGGCTTTGTCTAATTAGTCAAGAGTGGGAGCGGGATGGGAAAAGGCCCTAAGAGTCCTCCACGAAGGAAACCATCTCTGAGGGAACACTTTCAAAAGGGTTCCCTCTGGCTGTGTGATGGACAGGAGAAAGAGAGGGGGCTGCGGCCATAATTCACCTCAAAGGAGAAACGACTAGAGCCTTCTACCTCTTCTCTCTACCACCAGTGACCCACCTCCCCGCCCCCTGTCCATATTAACAACGGGTGGAGGCTCTCTAACTCGGCCTTCCTCAGAACCATCCTTCTTCGTGGCCACTTCCAGGCTACGAGGCGCCTGGGAACTGCAGTACCCGCCGCTCCTACCCCAACCGGGCCCAGAACAGCGGGGGGTCGCCCCATCACTCCCACACGAGACTACAAAACCCGGAGAGCCATGCGCGACAGGCAACGCCAACTCCCGGCTTTCGCAGAGGTCCACGTGGGAGATGTAGTCCGGCGACCGGCGTGCTCCTCTAGCTCAGAACGGCGGTGAGGGGAGTGAGTGACTACAATCCCCACAGTGCTCCACGAGGCCGGGAGCGGGTGAGGCGGGCGCGGTGGCTTCTGGGGGCCGTAGTCACACGACAGCTTCCGCGAATTTAAAGCAACGGCAAGAGTAGCGTGGGAGACTACAAGTCCCATGGTGCACCGCAGGGAGGCGGTGGCCCAAGCCTTGCAGGCCCCGGCAGAATGACCAGGGCGATGGAAGGAAGTCGTGCTTGCTGCGGGCGTGGGGAATGGGCTTACCGGTGTGTCGAAGGAGAAGGCGCACTCGTCTTTGTGGACCCGGTCTCCAGCCTTGGGGACCCGAATCGTCGGTAAAACTGACAGCAGCGCCTCCTCACTCAGCTCCGCCATGACACCGGCAGCAGCTCCTCCACACACGGCGACTCCCACCGCTCCTAGTCCCCCACCCCCTTCCCCTCCGTCCAATGAGCGCTACTGGTTAGGCGCCTGCGCGGAAGGGAAGACGCGCGAGAATGGCAGTTGGACGCAGTCTACCCACTATGCTCCGCCCTCTGCCCGCCTCTTGACTAACGCCAGTGAAAAGCGCTTCTATTGCAATGGATGGTCGAAAGAACCAATCCCACTCCTCCAGGGCAGAGCGCACGTAGAGCAGCGAGGTGGGCCTCACAGTTTTGACTGCTGGGACTCGGGGACCCCCTACAGCCCCTTCGCGTGCCTTCCACGGAAGCGCAGAGACTGACGATTGTTCAAACTAGTCAATCCCAGAAACTTTCCTGGGGGCTCGTCCAATTGGAAAATAGAAGGGCAGTTGTACTCTTAGTATTTGAAAAGCAGCTGTCCAATGAGGCGAGGTTTGAGAGGGTTAGTGTCGAGTGATTGCTAATTCTGTCTACCAATAAAGATTACTATCTCTCTCGCCTGAGAAGAATCTTCATAACTCTGTCTCCAGCTGGATCTGTGCAGAATAGCGTAATAATTCATGATTCTATTTTTTTAATAAAATCATATGATAATGAAACTGAAAGTCTCAAAAGCGAAGACTGGCATTCCGCAAAATCTCTCTACGGACTACTCGCAGCACCATACGGAACAAAAGTCCCGTGATGAAGGAGGCGTCTCCCTTGGGCTAGCCAAGCCGCTGCCCACTGGCTCCACGCCCCCATGATGGACGTCCTCTCAGCCCAATGACTTCCTCCACTGGAGGCGGGTCTCACACAGCGGGCCTATAGCAGCCTGCGTCGGCTCAGCCAATGGGGCCAAGGCAGGGGCGTGGCGGGAAGTTTGAAACCGCCTCGGGAGCTGAGGAACGAGCTGCTTTGCACCCAAAGGTGAAATTGGGGCCCGGTAAGTGATTTGAATAAGTTGGTGGATAAGTTCGAGGGCCCGGCAGGCCCGGAAGGAGCTGCCCTATCAGCTGTAATAGTCATTATCCCCATAGAGACCTCTAGCCCAGCGGCCAGGCGGTTCCTCAGAGGGGAACGGGGAAGATCGGGTGGTCTGGAGTCAGGCTGAACGTGGTCGCGGTAAGGACTGAGACCTGAGTCACTTCTCACAGGCATCCCCTCCTCGCCCGGGCCGGGCCCTGCCCCGCCCCATCCTATTACTACCGGTTGAGATGGGCTCAGCCAAGAGCGTCCCAGTCACTCCAGCGCGGCCGCCGCCGCACAACAAGCTTCTTTCTCGAGTGGCGGACCCCCGTTCACCCACCGCCGGCATCCTGCGCACTCCCATCCAGGTACTCCGGGCCGGGGTAGGGGAGGCAGCGACATTGTCTGAATTCTTGGGCCTCTGCCTAACCTGACTGCCTTGATTCTGAAAGACCTCTCACTTCCCACCCCACCCTCACTCCCCTACTTTGAGGCCTTGTTTTTCACATTCTCAACCAGGGGAAGCAGGCTGGATGTCTGAGGGCTTTGGCAATTCCAGCCTGTAGTATCGGACTGAGGTTAGAGACCTGGGAGGGAAGAGTCAGGGCCCAGACTTGTTCTAACTTTTGGTTCTGACAGGTGGAGAGCTCTCCACAGCCAGACCAGCCAGCAGGAGAGAAGCTGGAGGATCTTAAGCAGACCCAGGACTCAGATCCCCGCTCTCCTACCCTTGGCATTGCACGGACACCTATGAAGACCAGCAGCGGAGGTAAGTGTTGGGCTCAGGTTATTCTGCTCAGGCCGTCACCTAGCACCCTTAGGTGGGGTCAAATGAAGCTATCCTCTCAGGGCACCACTTTAAAGGGGGCTCCATCCTCCTGCTTTGGACCTGTGTCACTCTTTTCTGAACATTTTGCTCTCTCACGCCTTGCCTTCTCTCTTCCCAGTCCCTCACCCACGAGGGCATGACTCCTAAGGCTCGTACATCTTTTCCTCCTTGCTGAATGATTTGTATCAGAGGGTCACTGTCTCACTTCATTTCTCCCCCGCTAGAGCCACCTGATACAAATCAGAGGGTCACTGTCTCACTTCATTTCTCCCCCGCTAGAGCCACCAAGCCCACTGGTGAAACAGCTGAGCGACGTATTTGAGACCGAAGACCCCAAATCAGATCTTCCCCCAGAGCCTATTCTGCCCCTGGAGACACCTCCGTCTTCTCAACTGGACTTGCCTTTGGACAGCCAGTTTTCCCTTGAGGACCAGATGTCACCTTGGAGTCAGACTGAGCTCCCTTCCAAGCAGGTGTTTTCCAAGGAGGAAACAGGACAGTCTTCAGGAACCCCAGTGGGCAGCCAGGGCTCAGACAAGCCCTTGAGAGACCCTGAGACACCTCGATCTCCAGGTACAGAATCTAAGAGCAAGGTATGGGGAAGAGAAATTGGGCTAACACTCTGGGATAATGTCCCTGGATGAATGGAGGAGGAATAAACTATAAGCCCCTAATCTTGGCTCCTTGTTTTAACTCCGTCCCCACCCTAGGTTCCATGCGCAGCAGGTGGAAACCAAACAGCAAGGTACTAGGAAGATCTCCTCTCACCATCCTGCAGGATGACAACTCCCCCGGGACTCTGACACCACGGCAGGTAAAGGGACACAGGGTGAAATCTGTTACTAGGAAATCCAACGGAAAGGTGGGAGGCCCTTTCCCCGACTCTTCCCTCCCCTGGACAACCTCCCTCCCTCAACTTGCACACTGCCTTTTGCAGAGTAAGCGGCCTTCTCCCCTGAGTGAAAACATTAAGGAACTAAAAGGAGGGGCTGTTCTGGGAACTGGACGACTTCCAAAAACTGGAGGAAGAGCATGGGAGCAAGGCCAGGGCCAGGACAAGGAAAATCGGCACTTTCCTTTGGTGGAGAACTAGGCCGTGCATGGCCCCAGTACAGGGTTCGCCAGGAGCTGAGTGATACTCTGTGCCTCTCATCCCTTCTCTCCCTGGGAGACTGGAAAGGCTCGTTTTCCTCAGCCCCTCCTAAACTACCAACTCTGGGACTCAGAGCCTCCTTGGCTTTCTTTGTGTTTTATGTGTTTCTGTATATTAAAGGAAGTGATTTTAAATGATGTTTTTAAGTATTATACCTAAACCTTGTGCTGGGTCTTCTGCATGGAGAAAGACAGTCTGGAGAGGGAGGGTGTTGTGTTCCCTGGCCTGAGTGTCCCCCGCACTGATACCTCTAAGCCTCTTTTACGTACCTCCCTTAAATCCTGTTGTTCCCTAAGGCACTGTCCTTGACTCTTTCTTTCTCTCCCTGGGTGTTCACTTCTAGGACTTTAGCTGTCACTCATCTGTATTCTGGTAACGTCCAGGTCTCTCTGCCTAAGCCTGACCTTTATCCAGCTGCCCCACAGGTGCTTCAAAGTCAGCTTGTTTAAAGTTGAATTTGTGATCTCCCCAGAGTTATTCCTCCTCCCCCGTTCTCCATCCCTGTGAATGACAGCACTAGCCACCTAGTTGCCAAACCCGAACCTTGGCCATCACCTTGAATCCTTCCCTCGGACTATCCCTTATCCTCGCACTCGGTCCCTACAATCCCTACATCCTAGTGATTCTGTATCTTTAATCTCTCCCTCATCCCCTCCCTTGCCCCTCTGTCCTATTGCTCTTGCATTTCTTGCCACCTGCCTCCTACCTTGTTTCCCTCTATTCCCTCCAGGCTCCCTTCCCTCCATTTCATCCACCTGTATTGCTGCTAGGATGATCTTCCGGAGGAGCATCACTGATCACGTTACTACTCGGTTAAAACTCCCCAGTTGTTCCCCACTGCCCTTAGGATAAAGTCTAGACTCTGGCTTTTTATAGGCCTTTTATAGTCTGATCCCGTCTCAACATAACCCTTCTGGACAAATACACAGTCACCAAAGGCAGGCGGGTGTGAACTGTCGTGCACACCCCACCAGCCACCTTCTCCTCCTAACCCATCTCAGGCCTTCCCCAGGAGGCTTGGGCTTCTGCCTCCACCCTCTCTTCTGCCCACAGCTAGCTGATCCCCAACCTTTATCACTGCTCCCATAATACTTTGTTATTTAAGTGGGACCTGCATCTTTTGGGGACAGAAGTGAGGTGGGAGGCAAGAATCACAGCTACGCTTTATTGCAAGTGCTTTAGGAGAGAAAAGAAGGTAGACAAAGGAGAAAGCATGAAGAAGGGGGCCAGGACCCTAGTGGTGCCAGAGCCATAGTCACGGGGCCGAGCACCCTGTTCCACCTGGGTCTAGACAAAGGTGGTGGCTCTGGGAGAGGGATCCTAGGGCTTAAGGTCTCAGACAGTAAGCCTGGTAGGCCTGCCAAGGGCGGGGGTTAGGGGTGCATTATCCTTGCTCATTAAGGGAGAAGCTGTCAGGACCATGGAGAGGGGAGGCCATGGGAGGAGATGGGGCAGTTCCCTGCCCATGTCCCTGATGCTGCCTCCCAAAGGCACACTCCCCATCCTCCCCACTGCCCTCAAAGGGGAAAGCTGGGCGGGAATGGCAGCTGGGGTCTTAGAAGAGAAAATCTTAAAGAAATTGGGCAGGGCAGGGCCAGCTGAGTGTCTTCATGGCCTTTTACCTCCCCCTCCTCCAGCCTCCTCAGTTCCAGATTTTGAGGAAGCTGTCCCAGGAACCAGTGGCCACAGCCATCCCATCAGCTGTGACCCCCAGGCAGCTGACCCTGTTGTCGTGGCCAGAGAGGATGCCTGAAGAAAAGGGAGAGGAGTCAGCCTGACAGGGAGTGTATGGTCACACACAGGGGCCCTAGGTTAGGTAGGCGGGGTGTGGGACTCCAGCCCCCAGAGAAAGAGGATTAGCCCTAAGGGGCAGGCTTTCTCTGGAGGCCAATCTCTGTGCCGAGAACCTGGGGTGGGGGAGGGGCAGGGAGGGACTGGGAGGTGTCACTGAGCTGGGAGAAAAAGCAAGGGCACCTTGATGGGCATTAGAAAACAGGGAGGGTTTCCAAATAGAAACTGAGGCCCAGAGAGAAGTGACTTGGCCAAGGGCGCTCAGAAAGAAAACAACGGAATTAAGGTTTGGATCCTGACTCTCTGGCCAGCATTACCTTCATTTGGCACCTGGCCTCTCCCAAGAGAAGAAGCCACACTCGCTGATTCAACCTCAGACCAGGCCAGTCCCCAAGAAGCACCCAGCTTTGGGCCAGAGCCCTCAGGTCACTCGCGATCCCCTTGATCCTGTCATTGCATTGTCCCTGAGATTGCCCTTCCCTTCAGGGGATGCCCCTGGAACCCAGAACTGACTGGACATCCAGGGTCCACAGGTCTGGGGATGACGGGAGGGGCCCCTCGGGCGGGGAGCAGCTATGGCATTGGGCGGTGGAGAAGGGCCGCTTAGAGCAACTTTTCTTTGAAAGGAGATGGTCCAAGGTTGGGAACCAAGGGGGACTGGATTCTAGGGGTAGAGCTCGGAGTCAGTCACTCAGTAGTCAGGGAGAAGCAGTAAGAGGGGAGCGGGGGTGGGGGCGGGGGCCTTACCCACGCGCTCACACTTCATGGAGTCCCAGACGTTGCAGTTGAAGTCGTCATAACCCGCAAAGAGCAGGCGGCCACTGAGGGAGAAGGCCACGGATGTGATGCCACAGACGATGCTCTCGTGGGAGTATGTGGTCAGCTCCTGGTCCGCCCGCAGGTCGAACAGGCGGCAGGAGGCGTCATCCGAGCCTGTGCAGATGGCCTCTCCATTGGGGAAGAACTGGGGGTACAGGTGGCCGGGAGGTCAGGACTCAGTCCTGGGCACCCTGCTGTCTCTCCTGCCCTCTCCCTGCTCCTGCCCTGGTGGCTCCAGGCCCAGCTGTTTCCCTTAGCCTCTCTGGTCGTCCCTTCCTCCGCCTGCGTGGTCGCTGATGTTTATCACCTGCCAGCTGCTGCCGGGGCTCCCCTACACCCTTCACTGGCCTTCATTATGTCCACGTTGCAGGGGAGAGCACTGGGCAACTTGCCCAGGGTCACCCCACCAGAAGGGCGGAGGCTGTCCCAGACTCCAACCATGACAGTTGGCTGGATCAGCGTGTAAGCGCAGGGCCGAGTACAAACGCATACCCTGAATCTCATCTTGAGGCAATGTCAGATAAACCTGACGCGGAGGGACGTCTAAGAAAATTGGTTTGTACTCTTCAAAAATGTCAATGTCATGAAAGACAGAGAAAGGTCAAAAATGGTTCCTGTTTAAAGGAAACTGAAAAGACACGGCAGGGAAATGAGGTGCACGTTGCTGGACAGAAAAAGAATTCCTATTTTTGAGGTAATCGGTGAAATTTGAATATAGACTGTAGGCTACAGTATTGCATTGGTGTTAAATTTCCTGATTTTAAGAAATAGACAGTGGCTGTGTAAAAATGGCCTTGATTTTAAGAAGCAGACACTGAAGAATTTAAGGGGTAAAGAGGCAGGAGGTCTCCAACTTGCTCTCAAAAGATCTAGGGGAAGAAGTAACAAAATGTACCTACACCTCCATCTTGGTGTATGTCTGTCCATCCCTCCCTCACTTCCTCCCTCTCCGTAAAGCAAATGTGGTGAAACGTTAACAGTGGACGTGGGTGAAGGGCAGATGGGAGCTGTTTCTGTTACTCTTGCAACTTTTCTGTAAGGCGAAATTATTTCAAAGGGGAAAATTAAAGGGAAAGGGGCAGGGGGCCTACGGGAGCAGATACAGGACGGGGTGCTGGAGGTGGGAGGCAGTCCTGGGAGGTGTAGCACAGAGGTGGGGCTCACGCAGATAGCGTTGATGTCGGACTCATGGCCAGTGAAAGTCTGCCGGCAGGTCCCCTCCCGCACATCCCAGAGCTTGGCGCTGGCATCACAGGCCCCCGAAATGAAGAGTTTGAAGTCAGGAGACACAGCCAGGCTCATGCAGTCCCCCGTGTGTCCCACAAACACAGTCTTCTGCTGTCCCGTCTCAATGTCCCACAGAGCGCTGAGGAGGGAGGGGAGGCTGTCACAGAGAAAGGCCAGCACAGGAGTGCCTCCCAAGCCCCAGCGCCCACGGTGTTCGGTCCTCACCACGTGGTGTCCCCAGAGCTGGTCACAATGTTGTTGTCATCCAGGAAGCGGCAGCAAGAGAGATAACCTGGGGGCGGTTAGGACAGGGCCTTGGCTACAGGGCCACACCCCACCAGGACCAGGGCCTCCCTGGACCCTTGGTCTCTCACTCACCTGTGTGAGCAGAGAGCTCCCGGCTGACCTTGACGTTGCCCTCCCGGGATTTGAGGCTGTAGATGGAACACATGTTGTCCAGCCCCCCACACGCCACGAAGTTCCCTGATGGGGCATAGGCACAGGTCATGACCCAGGAGGAGCGCAGCGGGATGGCGTGCACCTGCAGGAGGCCGTGCGGCAGGGGGCCTGAGCCGAGCTCCCGGTGGGGAGGGCAGAGGAGGGCGGCATCAAGCCCCAAGGGAGAGGGCGACAGTACCTTATTGGTGGTGTAGGTGTCCCACACGATCAGCTTCCCATCTTGCGAGGCACTTACCAGCAGCCTGGGGAGAGGACGTTTGGGTCACCCAAGCCTCCTTCCTCCCTGCCCCCCATCCCCACCACGCCTCTCAAGCCTCACTTGGAGTCGGTGGCCCAGTGCATAGCATATATCTTGGCCAGGTGTCCCCTTAACGTTCGCCGGGTCCGCATCTGCACTCGTCCTACGACCTCTAGGCCAGACACCAGCTGCAGGAAAGGGGACATTAGAAATCAGAGTGAGCAGGGCATATGTCCACATGTCAGTGTTACAGCCACTGATCTGTACAAGTTTCTGTTCCGTGCCAGCCTCCAGGTCAGGCCCCCAGCCTCAGAGAAACCAGCCTCTGCCTAGGAGTAGCTTAGACAGATGCGGATGCTGGGGACAGACACCGGTGTGGCCCGGGGCAGGTTGCTAAGGGTCTAACCACCACCTCTCCTCTGTGGGGGGGATGGATTTCCACCATGTAAATACTCCCACCTTCACCAATTCAAGCTGCCAACATGAGGCCTCTGCACAGGGACTTGGGAAGCGATGCACACATTTGGCCAAACCCAGCCGCTAGGAGCCTGCCCTCACGCACCACTGCAGCACAGCCAGCTCTCACTGGGACCTAGGGCAGCGCCATGGCTCTGCACTGCACCTCCGGAACTTTATGGTCCTATGCCCCTTGAACTCCATCCAGCTTCTAGACTTAGGCTGGGGGTCCAGAGACAATAGACTTGACTTTCTATTTACTTGTTTTCTCAGGTGAGTTACTTAACCTCTCTGAGCCTGTTTCCTCCTCTGTAAAATGAGGTTTCTAGCACCTACCTTAATGGATTGCCACGAAAATTAACTAAAATTATGTATTTAAGTAACTTAGCTCAGTGTCTGGCTCAATTTCAGTAAATATTTACTCATTATTAACATTTCATCCAATTTGAGGTGCTACCAACTCTAAGAAGCATGATTCTTTTAGGGGTCACTGAGAAAGAAAAACCCTGCCAACTATAGTTGTGAGGGATCACTAATTGCTGGAGGCATCTTTGTTTTGTTTTAGTTTTTTTGATGGAGGTACTGAGGATTGAACCCAGGACCTTGTGAGTGCTGAGCACACGCTCTACCACTGAGCTATACCCTCTAGTGGATGCATCTTGATTTCCAAAATGTCAAAATGTGAAAACATGCATCTTAGAACCGCCAAACTGCAGTATTAGGCAACTAGTAATGAGAGCCTCCAGGGGCTTTCTGATTTACAAGGCACGGCCCCCTCCTCATCCTCACCGCCCTGTGAGGGGGTGATCACTCTTGTTTTACGGACGGAGATAGGATGGCATCTTCCTCCTTGGTCTCTGACGTGGTGCCCGGCCCAGAGCAGACCTCACAGGATGCTTACTGAATGAATTAATAAATGTCGTTCCTCGTTCCAAGGACGTGCTGTTCTAGAGCTTGGGCACCAGGCTGTGGCTGCTCAGGGAGCTCCCATCCCTCCCTTCGCATCCCCTCCAGCCCTGTCGGGGGACAGGAGAGCTCACCTCTGCCAGAGTAATGTCAGCACAGGCTTTTCTGGCATCCTGTGGGGGAAAGCAGGCATCAGAGGAGGGTAAAGGTGGGGTGTGGGGGTGAATGGTCATCTGAGGTAGGTGGGCTTGGGACTCTAGGGTTTGGGGGGCACCCCAAATATGAGGTCTAAGTTCAGAAAGTCTCTGGCCACTTCCAGGTCAGGGGTCTCTAAGGTGTTACTCAAGGGTGAATCCAGCCCCCTCCCCGCAGGCCACGGTCCTTCATGCCCCGGTTCCATGTTTTCGGGGGTCCCCTAGCAGGAGGGTCCTGGGGTTACAGCAATCTGCTTCTTGAGCTGCTCCGCCTCCTGCCGCAGCTGCTCCATCTCCCCCATGGCTGCGAGGTTGAGGGGTGGCTCCTACTCCTGCCAGAAATGGGGGTAGGTGTCAGGGGATCCCCACCAGGCCCTCACCCCACACAGGACTCCTCATGAGTCCACCCCTCAAAGAGAGAAATGATTGGGTGCTTGGCACCACCTCCCCTGCTCTGCCAGCCCCTCCAAGGGTGCAGCCAGCCAGCGCTGGTGCAGCCCGCCCTCCCTGCAGCCCCCAGCCCCGGAGGGCGGAGCTGGGCCAGCTCCCTCTTACTTGGGCTCTGACTGGACCTCTTCTAGGCTTCCAGCTCCGCTTCCCGGGTGCCTCCTCACTCCCTCAGCTGCGACGCCCGCCTGTCACCTGCCCCGGCTCTACTGCCAGAGGAGCTGGCCTGGCCTGGCCCCGGCTGGGGGGTGCGGGGGGGCACTGACAGGGAAGGGTAGGGCTAACGTCAGGCAAATGAAATCAGCTGGCAGGGGTGGGGGGAGAGGACAGGGAGGGAGATGTGTGGCTTCCAGAGAGACTTGGGCCCAGCCCGGGGGAGGGTGGGAGCAGGAGTGCGGGGTGATACAGAGGAGCAGCCCCCCGTAGCGAGCCCTGGCGGCGGGGGGGGGGGTGTGCTCCCCCAGCCGGTCTCTCTCGAGGCAGAGAGCAGAGCATCAGGCCCCATGGGATTAGAGCAAAGCTGTGAGGATTAAGGGTCAGGGTTGGGAGGGGTGCAAAGGAGCAGCAGCAAGCACAGTTCCAGGGGCCCCCCAGGCCCTGGCCCCCACCCATGGCAATGATCTTGGCCCTCAGGGCCTACCTAGCAACCAGTCCAGGAGGCAGAGAATGAGGGTGAGAGATGGCCCATTGTCAACACCCCAAGTTGTGTTCCTTAGCTCAGGGTAGTGGGGGAAGCGGGTTACAGCGAATATGGGGAGGGTGCAGGCAGGAGCTGAGATTAGAAGGGACTGATCTGGATAATCCTTCTTCTGGACAAACCCCAACCAGCTGCCCCCAGGTCTGATCCTGGGGGAGTGGGGGCAAGTCCAGGGGATCCAGCAAGGAGAATGGACAGGCCTGGCCCTGCTTTCAGTGGAGAAAGACTCGCAAGTAGAGGGCAACCTGTCCCCTACTCTTATCATAGGCTGGACCCACTCCTTGCCCCCGTGACACCCGGGGCCCTGCTGGGGCTGTGAAGGCAAGAACCAGAGGGATCAGGCTGCCCTAAGTCTCAGTCAAGCTCGGTGAGGGAAGACGGGGCTTAGGGTAGGAGGCCGAAGGAGCAGCTGTCAGGGGTTAGGGGTCATTTGCATGAGGGGAGCAGGTGGCCGAGATTTCCCTGACAAATCACAGCCTTGAGCGGCCCCACCTCCGGAGGCCCAAGATACCTGTCTCCTCCCAGGCCAGCCACAGCCACCGCCACTCCCACCTTCAGCCACCCTGAAACTGCAAACTGCGAGACACTTGACTGGGCCCTGGCTGAGGGTCTTCAGGACCTTTATTGGCAGGCTGGGAGAGGGCAGCGGGGTGTCCTCCCTCTTTTCCTCCTCCTTTAAACCCCGCAGTCGGGCCCTATCCCCTGCCATTTCTTTCCAGGGTGGCATCCAGTCTTCTGTCTGTCCCAGGGCAGGAGGTCTGCCAGCTGGGCCAAGCCTGGCCCCCCAAGCCAGTCTGTGCCGTGTCCTCTGAGTCCAGGGCTGATGTCCCTCATTATCCCCAAGAGGATGGGGGTGCAGGGACAGAGAGCTGGCTGTTCTCCTCCTGTCACATAGGGGCTTCTCATGGGTCTTGGCATCAAGGTGGACCCTTCACAAGTCAAGCTGGCTCAGCCTCTCACAGCTCCTCTCGGACACGAGATGGCTTCCCAGCCTTGTCTTGGACCCGCTGAAGCCTGCGGCTGGGGGGTTCTGGGGCAGGGTCTCTGCTGGACATTTCTTCTTCCTCCTCCTCTGGCTCCTGCAGCAGCTCTTTGGCTTCTGTCCACTCCTGGGAGATGGGGAGGAGGGTCTGGCTCCATCCCCTGCCTCCCTGGCCCAAGGACCTTCCCTGGGAGATCTCAGCCCCTGCCCACACCTCACACCACTACTCCCGCTCCTCCTCACCTGCTCCCTGTGCTCAGGTGCCCACGTGTGCCACAGCGCCAGGGCGCAGCGCCGTCCCCTCGTCACAGCCCACACGCCATGGGGATTCTCCCCACCAGAGCTGAAGGCCACAAGGCGCCCGCAGCGAGGTCGAACCTGCGCCTGGGGGTGAGGGTGGGGTCAGCTCCAGGGAAAGTCCCTCAGAGAACTTGGCCCTGACTCCTGCCCAAAAGCAGGACGGGGGCAGGGGCCCCGGAAAGGTCAGCTTTCTTGCCTACCACTTCTCCCTCCTTAATTCAGAGACTATCTTGGCGCAAATGGGAAATGGACCTCCACTTGGGAAGCACGAATGCCAGCCTGAGGCCAGAGGCGTTGGAGCTGAAGGGAGAAGGGGCCTCCCTCAAGGGCCTTGGGTTGGCCCATCCCCCAGGTGCCCTGACTTTTCCTGGCCAACCCTTTGAACCAGGTGTGAAGCCATCTGAGGGGATGGGTGTGGTAACAAACCCTGGGTTCTGGGTGGCGGGATCTTGGGGACATTTTTCCACCCCAAGAAGGGCTTGGATTACAGGTAGTTGGTGGTGGTAGCAGAGAAGGCAGTAACTGGGTAAGACAGAGCAATTCATGGTAAAAAAATCACTGTTCCTCCCCTTCCACCAATCCCAGCCCTGAGCTTCCACCTGGAACAGGGGTTTGGGATTCTGCACTTCACTCGCCCTCCCTTAGGAGGTGAGGCAAATGCGGAAGGCAGGGTCTCCTGGCGTAATGGACCTCTGCTAGGAGAGGCCCTGAAAAGACACGTGGTGGGAGGTGTTAGAGAGGCCAGGAAAGGAGATGGTTAAGGGGGCCCATCCATTTCCCTGCATTTGCCTCTGGGAACCTTCTGTTTTGAATCCTGAGCCCACAGCTGGGCTCCCTGTCACATTGCCCCACTTACCGTGACCCTGAGGGCGTTGGGCTCCGTGAAGAACAGGTCCCCGCCCTGGAAGTCATCGTTGAGGTAGAGGAGTCCACTGGGGAGGGAGGAAGACAGGAGGCAGTGAGACCCCTTCCCGGCCAGGCCCACCTGCCTGAACCCTGGAGGGCCACCCACCTGTAGTCCCGGTAGGTATAGGCTGGGGGCTCCCGCCAGCACTCCCCGGTGTCGGGGTCCAGGACGCAGTTGTCTGCATGCACCGGGTGGCTCAGGTCCATGCGCTGCGCTTGCTCTCCTGCGAAGCGAAGGGGCCTGGTGGAAGCCTATCCACACCCACCCTGCAGATCCAGGGTCACAGCCCAGCCGAGGAGCTGGCCGCAGCCCGGGCAGAGGAGTCAGTCTTCCTGGAGTGAAGACTGAAACCACACAGCTGAGGGCGTATAGGGCCCAACAGGGGCCCAAGGTGGGGAGGAGCGGCCAGGCTGCCCGGTGGTTACCTTCTACGGCACTGCGGCACACCAGGTGGGTGAAGGAGAGGTGCAGGGGCCGATCCGGGGAGAAGTAGGCCTGTGTCAGGGTCCGCACACGCTCGCTCACCTCCAGGAGCAGCTGAGCACCCTGACTGCCCACGGCCCCGGCCCGGGCCAGCTGCGGGCAGCGAAAAGAAGGAGGGAAAGGGCGGGTTGGAAGGATGGTCCCAGCTACCGACCCGGCACCACTTCCGCTACCTCCGCCTACAGTTTGGGGCTCAGCAGCCCATTAGCCCAACCTGCTCCTCTCACTGATGACAACATGGGCCCCTCGGTCTGGAACCCCCTCCTCTGCCCTGGGCAGAGGCCTCGGCTGCTCCTATGAGAGCACACCCCCCCAGGAGACGCTGGGCCCCGGTGCCCAGCTCGCTCAGGTTCCGGCATCAGACCAGGCCACGGGCGCCTCTTCTCACCTGTGCAGCCTTGAGCACCGTAAGCCCCTCAAAGCGTTCGTGGGGGGTGTGTGGGGAGCGGCGGCCCCGATAGCCTGACCTGGCTCCAGCCTCAGCTGCGTCCTAAACAGGGAGAGCACTGGAGTGTGAAGTCACTTCCGCTGGGCCCCCAGCTACTGCCCTCCCCTCACTGCCCACAGGGCTACCCAGCCTTCCCTCCAACGCTCCCACTCCCTGGAAGAGGGTAGACGCTTCCAGAGTTCTCTGAGCAGCTGCTTTTTTCCCAGAGAATGACTATCTCCACATCTGTGCTGTCACTGCTGGTAAAGATCTGGAATCCCACTCGCCAAAGGGGCTCAGCAGAGAACTCTGGAGAGCTTCCTTCAGTGAGGAAGGGGCTCTGAGAGGTAAGGACAGCTGCGGGAGTGAGGCAGGAGGGGCACGACCACTCATCCCCGATGAGCTGAGAATAGAGGAGTCTGTCTGGAACGGGACGCTGGCAGGACCGGGGCCAGGTCCTGGCTAACTTCAGGTGGGGACATAGCATCTGCCCAGGTAGCTCTCTCCGACTTCTTCCCACCTGACACTCTCTTGGAGAACGTGAGAACCCTGGATGCTGAGTCCCAATTACCCAACTGCCTACCCGACTCGCATCACCTGGAGGTCTCCTGGTATTTGGATGTCCCTTTCCTGACACCTCTTTAAACTCAGAGTACCACTACCTAGTTACCCCATATATAAACCACATCTCTTAGAGGCCACCTAGCCACCCAAGGCATCTAACCCTCTATTCCTAAATTCATGCATTCATTCAGTAGGTACTGAGCAACTACTATGTGTCAGCCACTGTTCTAGGCACTGGGGACTCAACTATGAACATGAAAAGTTCCTGCTTTCATGGGGTTTATATTTTGAAATAATAAACAAACAGACAAACCAACCAGATCAACTCAGATGGTGATAAGTGTCACAGAAAATTAGAGCAGGGTTACAACCTTGAGCATACCCCAGCAGGAGTCAGGGGACAGCTAACTGACGAGGTGACATCTAAATTTAAATTAAATGATATGAAGGAATATCTGAGAGAAAAAAAATTTTTCTAGGCAGCAGAAATAGCAAGTGCAAAGGTCCTGAGGCCAGAATGGGTTTAGTGTAATCAAGGAATAGGAAGAACGTCGGATATTTGGGGATCATCCTTGACTCCATTCTTTCATCGTCTTCCACATAGATTCAGTCCTCTATCTTAGCTTCTCTATCTTTGATTTTCTAAATATTTCTCATCTGTCCCCATCTTCATCCCCTTGAAATGAGGCCCTAACCTAGGGCAGGGGCGCTCTTGGCATCACCCCAGAAACTCCCCCTCACTTTCCTCTCCCACTGCATTCTCCACAGTGCCACTAGAGGGAGCTCCTGGCCCTGCAGGATGGGGACTCCAGATCCTGCACTTGGAGGTTCTACAGCAACAGCAAAGTCAACCCCTCCTTAAATCCTTCAGAAAGCTGTCCACCAACTACAAAAAAAGTCCTAAGTCCTCAGTAGGGTGCAGAGGTCCTTCCCCATCTCTCCTGTGCCTCCACTCCTATACCGCCTCTGGATAATACACAGCCTGCAATGGTGACAGCTAATCCTGAACACTTTCTAGATTCTTCAAAGAGCTCTGCCATGTGCTAACTCATTTAACCCTTGCAACAACCCTACAACAAAACTGCTGCATTTAGCCCCATTTCATAGAGGAGGAAACTAGGCTCAGAGATGTTAAAATATGTGGCCCAAGGTCACACCGGTCATCACCTTTGGGACTGGCCCGTGCTCTTAACTCCTGTGCTCCACTGCCGTTCCCAGGACCCCCCTCATTCTGCTCCCTCACAGCCTGACTTTCCTTCCCTCTCTGCCTGGTTCACTCAACCTTCAGACGGAGCTCAAATGCCACCCTCTCCCGTAAATCTTCCATGACTTTGCATCTCAGGGCTTCTACTTGGATGACTACATACTTCTTTTATCAAACTCATCACCCACTCTGATTGTGTGTCTCCACGTCCAATTCCTTCTCTATACACTGAGCTCCTGAATGCACGGTCTGTGTTTGTCTACCTCTCTGGAACCTAGGAGTTTCTAGTACACAGCAAGCACTCAAAGAGTGAGTGTTGAACGAATACTAGCCCAGGATGACGACCGAAGATTCATAAAATGGCAGACTCAGCCTGGTGAATATGGATCATTCAACCCAAACTAGGAGGGGATGCGATGATGGAGAAGAAGGCTGTGTGTCTGCTGCGCCCGCGGCTGAGCCAGTAACTAAGCTCCCAGCCAACCAAGCACTCACCCCTATTTAACGCCTTTCTGTGTTTTGTTTTGTTCTTCCTGTCAATTTCTAGGAAAATTCCTTTGTAAAATGTCCAGCCCATGTCAGCTAAGTTGAGAGGAAAAGGAACTTGTCCACAGCAGTGAGACAGTGGCAAGAACCATTTCCCCACTGGGGAGTCAGAGACGGCAGGACAGGAGGCTGGCCACGAGCCAGAGAGAAGGTAGCTGTGCCTGAGGGTCCCCAACCAGCCACCATGCCACCGACTGACAGGTCTCCTCACCTTGGCCAGCTGCAGCAGCACCCCACATTCGGCTGGGGTGAGCAGCCCATCCAGCACTGCTCGCTCAGACCCATTCAGCTGTCTGGCGTCCTGGGTCAGGGTTACTCCCTCCAGGAGGAGGACATCTGCAGGGGAGGGATGGGGCAGAGGGGGTTGAGGGTCCCCTGAGGGCAGCCCCAGCCTCTCTGGGCTCCTGCCTCCTGCTATCCCAGGAACTCACCCTTCCAGTGAGTCAAGGGCTTCGGCTGAGGAGGCTCATGGTCCCACGGCCTCTTCTCCTGATCCTCTCTCAGGGGTGAGAGATATGCTCAGTGGAGGCACAGGCCAGCCAGACCCATCTTCCCCAGATCCGGCCTCCCTGGGCCCCTCCCATCCTCTTCCAGCTCAGGCCACGCCCCTCCCGACACAGGCATCTCCTACCTGAGCTTGTCTCTAAGAGCCTCCGGGATGACAGCTGCCGGGGTCCAGGGATCCTGGGACAGTCAGGAAAAGCACCATCACCCATCAAGTCCACCCCTGAATCCCTGACCGTAGACTCTGAACAATCACATGAAGGTCCTCCTGCTTCCAGAGGAGAAGGTGGAGGTGGGAAAGCCCTGGACTCACTGTCGGGAGCCCTGGACACTGGGCCCAACTCTGTAATAACAATATTAATAACGTAACAACAACAACATAGCACTTGCAGGTCTCTATTGGCCAGGTGCTGGTCTAAGAGCCTTATACATGGAAGTGAGATTTGTCATCTAAAGTTTACGATAGGCTTATCAAACAAGTACTTTTTCCTTTTTTGTTGTTGTTGCTTTTTGTTGTTTGTGGCAGGGGAAGGTATGCATGTATGTATGTATGTATGTATGTATTTATTTTTAGAGGAGGTACCGGGCATTAAACCCAGGACCTCACGCATGCTAAGCATGCACTCTGCCCTTGAGTCATACCCTCCCCCCTCAAACAGGCAGTGTTAAAGTGCCCATTTTGCAGTTGAGGACTCTGAGATACAAAGACGTAAAGTAACATGATCACGTCACACAGCTGGTAAGGGACAGAGTCGGGATTTAAACTAGCTTCAGAGTCCACGCTTTGAGCCAGCGGTTCCCAAACAGGGAGATTTGCCAGTCAGGGGACACTGCTATGTCTGCAAACAGTGCTGATGTTCATGACTCAGGGAGCACTGGCGACACCTACTGGGAAGAAGTCAGAGAAGCTGGCCTTGGCTGCCTCACATTCCAGGATCGTCCCTTTTCTCCAATAAGAAAGTATGGTTTAAAATGTCAGTAGCGCTAAAACGTTGGGAAGCCCTGCCTAATGCTATAGTACTAGCGAGAGTCACCTCTGCCCTTTAGTTTCCCCTCATTATGACAATAAAAACAGCAGCAAGAAGAAGAGTAATAAAAGCAGCAGCAGCAGAGATGTTGAAGCCAATGCGGGGCTTCAGCAGCCCTATGAGATAAGTGTGATTGTTCCCATTTTACAGGTGAGGAAGTTGAGGCTGAGCCAAGTGAAGGTCCAGAGCTTGTTTGTGGCAGAGGAGAGACCAACACAGAGGCCCGCATGACCCCAAAACCACCCTTAACGACAGGCACCTGCCTCTGTCCCTGTGACCCAGGGACACAGTGTCCTCTCAGGCCTCACAGGGTTGTGGAGAAATAGGAAAGGCTGTTGGGGGGGGACTGATGCGATACATCCACGTAGGGCATCACTGTTGTCTCCCTCCTGAGAAGTGGGGTCACTCACAGGATCCTTGAAGCTGGTCCCCAGGTGCTCCATAGCATAGTAGAGCTGTCTCTTCTCCCCCAGGGATCGAAGGACAAAGCTCTGGATGTCCTGAGGTGGGTGAACGCAGGGAGCAGGCGGGGGTGGGGGTGCAGGAAGTTACGGCTGGAGGAGCCCCAGGCTCCCTACTGCTGGCTGTGCCCCCCGGTGCAACCCTCCTCCCTCAGCAGCTTCAGGGTGTCGGGGCTCAGACTGAGGGGGGAGCGTGTATGTGTGTGAGTGTGTGCACACATGTGTGTGCACTCGTGCATAAGGTGGGGGCAGGCAGGAGTGAGGTTAAGGGGAGGGGCCAGGCTGGCGCTTGGACTCAAAAGGAGAGTCTAAGTGGGGAGCGGGCAGTGGAGACAAGCCAGATGCTGGGCTCGGGGTGGCCTTTGGCGGGAATGGGGGTGGGCTCCAGGTGCTGTCTCTCAAGTATCTGTTTGACGTGGGGCTACCTCACAGGGTAGTGCGGAGGCAGTTACCTCTCTCGGCCCGAGGCCGGGTCTTGGCTCTCCCAGCTGGGCCTGGTACTGGTCCAGAGCCTTCGTGGCAGCCTCATCCTCCGGGTAGAAAAGCAGGAGGCTCAGGACATTTTCCACAGCCTGGGACAGATTCCCCACTGGAGACAGAGCAACAGTGTGGGGCGGGGCACACAGACCCAGTGCCGCAGCGATCCCTGGGCGGAGGCGAGAAGCCAGCGGGACAGAGGCAGAGCCGGAGAAGGTGGTCCCCAGTGCCAACCGACTCCACAGCCCCCAGCCCACCCGCAGACAGGCTCATCCACTGCTTCTTTCCAAAGCTTCCTGGAACATACCTGAGCTGCGCAGGCAGAGTTCAGATAGGAGGCAAAGAGGAGAGAGTAAAGGAGGGTGAGAAGCAGCAAGGGCAGGAGGAGCCCTGTGACCCCATCCCGGGCTTTCCACAACGGTGCCAAAGGAGAGCAAATTAGAGTCCTCCCAAGGTGATGGTCCCCGCGGAGCCCTGACCAAGTACAGATGCAGAGACAGATGGAGGGATGGAGAGAGGGGGCTTAGGGTACCATCAGAGAGAAACCTTCACTCTCCCTGTTTCCAACCCTAGTCATCCCCCGGGCTCACCCTTCCCCAACTGACCCTGAGCATAGGCCTCATGCAGCCGCTTCAGCTGGCCAGGCAGGAAGTCGGGGACAGGGAAGCTGCGACCAGGACGTGTGGCCGTGTCCCCCACACAGCGCTGCCGGCACTGCAGGACCCGAATCCAGTGCACTGCGGGAGACACACCTGAGCCACTCAGCTTGTGACGCGCCTTCCCCCATGCACCCCTGCACTCCCGGCTCTGTACCTGCAATGGCCTCATAGAGGCCCCCCTGGCTCCCTGTCCCTTCCTGCTCGTCTTCTTCCCTCTGCTGCTCCTCAGGCCCCTCACAGTCAGCCCGGCAGCTCTCCATCTGGGCCAGGCTCTCCTGCAGGGCCTCCTCTAGCCAGGGCAGTGCCAGTCCTGCCTCCTGGCGCCCCAGTAGCTCCAGGCCAGTGTCATAGGCTGCCTATTGTGGAGGGAGTGGTAAGTCACCTGAGATCCTGGGGGAGGGGGTATCGAAGGAGATTGGGAGGTAGGAAGAAGGGGAGGGGCGTTGGTCCCCTTTGGGGCCTGGACTCCGGGTCCCTGTTCCCCAGTCCTTGGGGAATACAAGGGCGAACCTCAGAATCAGAATGTTGGGACACAGGGCTTTAGTGATCCTCAGGAACAGAACGAAGTCCCAGAGAGGGACTCCCCATCCAGGGTCACCGAGGACAGTACCCAGATTTCCTGATGCCCAGTGGACAGGGCCACAGTCCACTACCCAGCCAGTTAGAGGCTCGGGATAGGCTTGGGGCGATGCTGAGGGTCTCACCCAATGTGGGGGTGTCTCCAGGTCCCGGAAGCTCTGGGGCCGAACCCCGGTCATTCGTCTGTACTTAGCCATGTCCTCCCGCATCTGCAGGTGTGTTGGGTTTGCTACAAAGAAGGTGTGTGCTGCAGCTGCTGCCAGGTCCAACTTCTTCAGCTGAGAAGCGGGAAGGATGAGGGAGTCAGCCCTGAGGTGGGGGTGTCAGACTCTGCCCCCTCACCAGCCCACCCCAACCCTAGACACACCTGGCACTGCCCCAGAGCCTTCTGAAGACTTACTGGTCAGAAGTGCCCACCTCCCAACCTCCAGACCCCCAGTATGTTAGGACTCTCAGGAGTCTGGTAGCTAAGGAAAGGGGGGGGGTCTAAAGATTTTGGAGTGGGTGGGATACAGGCAGAGGAACCTGGGGCCTCAGTTTGGGAGACTAGGTGGAAATGTTGGTTAAGTGAGGTGGGGAAGCCAGGGTGACCTGAGCGGCCAGCAAAAGCCGCAGGTCTCTAGGACCCTGAGCTGAGGTGCGTGTGACCAGCGCCCCCCTTCCCCGGCCACGTAGGCGTTAGTTCGCAGCCAGAAGCTACCGTACCAGAAGCTGCCAGTGTCCACTGCCCCCGCCCCTGGACACGCGGCCCCTTATCCTCGTCCGCGTCTTCTTCCCTTTCCGAGTTCCCCGCTAGCCCAAGCGAAGGCTCCCACTCACTCACCCCCCACCACAGCCCCCACGCTCTCTCTCCAGCGGCGCGTTACGCCCCTGCTCGCTCCGCTTCACTCCTGGGAAGCGGTGGCTGTCACCCCACGTAGGTCTCAGTCAGACTTCCTAAACCGTCAGGCCCCTGCCCTCCGTCTTCGATCTGCTTCCACCCCGCCGCATGCCCCCCATCCCAACTTTGCTCCCACACTCCAAAGGTTGTCCCTCTGCCACCTCGATGGGTGCTTGTTTGTCGCAGTTCGACAGGACCGACTCCCAAGGAGAGGTCCTATCAACACAGCCCCACCCGAGTCCGGGCACTGGCGCGCGGCCCCTCCCGGGGAGCAGGGAGGAGGCTGGGGGGAGGACGGCAGCCGGGCGGGGAGGACCCACGGGGCCGGGCCGCCGCGCACCTGGTAGTAGGCCCTCTGCAGGTAGTTGTAGGGCTCCCGGCGGCGGAAGGCGTCCCGGAGCGCGCTCACCACCCGCAGCCGCGCCGCGCCCCCTGGGCCCAGCCTGCGCGCCCCGCACTGGGTCAGGCACTCGGCGCGGCGGAGCGCGGCGCGGAGGAGCAGAGGTTCCCATGAGGCCCACGCCGCTCCCGGCCCGGAGTCGGGTCCCGGGGCGGCGGGGAGCGCGGTCCCCGGTTCCGCCGCACAGCGCGCCCCGCAGTCCCGCCGCGCGCGGCCCAGCGCCGCCCGGCTCCGCAGCGCCTCCCGCAGCAGCGCCACCGCCGGCGCCCAGGCCCCCGCCGCGTAGGCGCGCAGTCCGTCCGCGTAGAGCAAGTCGGGGGCCTGAGGAGGCGCCCCGGGGGACAGCGGGGCCAGGCCGGGGGGCTCGGGGGACCCCGGGGGAGGCAGCAGCAGCAGGAGCAGGAGCAACCGGAGGAGCCGGAGCATGATGCCAGAGCGGCCGGCCGGCTGCCGGAGGGAAATGCGGGAGCGGAGGGGGAGAGGGAGGAAAGGGGGAAGGGAGAGGGAGGGGAAAGGAAGGAGAGATGGAGAGGAGGGAGGAGAGGAAGAGAGCAGGAATGAGCGTCGCCGAAGGGAGCTGATGAGGCTGAGAACCAACCCCAGGAGAGGCCGGTATGAGAGAGAAACAGGAGTCGGGGGAAGTCGGGCAGAACTTCCAGAACGCGGGCTTTCGGACCAGCGGGTAGTGCGGGACGGGAAACGGACCGTGGAGGGAGCCGGGCAGACAGCTGACGCTGGAGCAGGCCTGGTGCTCAGGAGAGAGCGTGAGGAGCCACTTAGATCCCTGACCCCAACCCCTGAGGCCCACGGGGTGGGAGTAGCTGCTGCAGCTCTGTTCCCCTGCACTCCTGGGTCCAGAAAAAGGAGTGTGCGTGCCTCCCACACACTTACCCACCCCCACACACATTTGGAAAAAGAGCTTCAGAAAGCAGCAGGGAGGAGGGTAAACTCCAGGCCTGTGACACCATCTGCTCAAAGCCTTTCCAAGTGGGCTGGTAGATTTGGAGCAAGGAGGGGAGCTGAGGCATGGGAGATAGAGACCTACTCTACAAGCATCTCTACAGAACTCAACAAAGATCCTTCACACCCCAAAACCCCAAGTTTCTCCCCATGCCCCCCCACCCCAGCTCAGCATGCTGTCGTAAGCCTGTTTCTGTGTGTCTGCCTGTTTGGCTTTCTCTGTGAGTATTTCTGTGCCTCTGTCCTCTGCCCCTGCTCTATTTTGTCCTCTGTGAGCCTCTCCACCCCCAAGCCTCTGACCATCCCTTTGCCACCATAGCACACTGGACACAGAGGTTTCCATGGTAACACTTCAGACTTTAATACATTTTGCTAGGGTTGATGGGAGGCGATTAGGGCATCTGGTCACTTGGATGGGAGACAGCAGGGGTTCCAGGGCCCCAGATCCAGTGCCCATCTCCCCGGAGTCTGGTGGCAGCTGCCCCAGGCTCAGTGATGGATCGAGGTGTTACCCACCCAGGCCCCCTCCTCTGAGTCCAGCAGGTCCTCTTGGATTCACAGGGTCAGCTGGGGGAAGATGGGATTACCTGGGCCCCAGGATCCTCCCCAAGCTCTCGCACTCCCCTCACCACCTGTCAGGGAGCAGCGTCGCCCTGCACTTAGGCCCAAAGGAAGTCCAATGGCTCTGCTATCAGGGGACCCAAGGGAGAGTCGGCGTGGTGAGAGGCCCAGCGGCCTGGGCCGGCGAGGAGAGGGCCCTGGAGAGGCAGCCGGAGAAGGCAGAGGTGTCTCATCGATGAAGGTTGTGATCTCCTCACGGAAGAAGCCAGGACCCCGTGGGGGTCCCCCACCTGACCCCAGAGCCCCACTCTCCAGGAATTGGCGGAGGCTGGCCAGCCCCCCACCTTCAGCCTCCTCCTCCTCCTCATCCTCCAGCCTTTGTCTTTGTCCTAGGTACTCAGGAGGGCCCCCTAGGGCCCGGCTCTGGGCTGGGAGGACCCGGATGTCATCAGAGGATGACCACTTGTGCAGGAAGGAGCCTGGTGCCCGAGGATTAGAGAAGATATTGGTCTCATCGTGGGACAGACGGCGGGACAGAGGGACCTGGGGAGAAGAGCAAGTAGACCCAGAGGTGCTGCAGGGACAAGCGGCTAGAGGCAGGAACAAAAGTGGGGTTCCTCTGCAAGATGGCGCCACCCCTTAAACTTTTGCAAAACATCTTCTGTTGGGCAAACCTGGTTTTGAGAGGCCTGAAGAGGAGCCTCCTTCACCACATCCTCCTTTCACCTACCCCTAATGTGCCCTGCAGGCCAGGAATAGGGAATGGGGGAGGGGGTTGGGTAACAGACTGGAGAAAAGTACCTAGGACAGGAAGTGTACTGTCTAGTCCCATACCTGTAAGTAGTGGACCCTCTCAAGAGGGGGAAAGAGCATGTGCCTTCCAGGCAGCAGCTTCACTTGGGTGGGGTCCCTGGCTCCTGGTCCTGTGGCCCCGTTGGCATCAAAGCGAACTTTGCATACTCGGCCATCTGCATAGTCATCACAGCCCCCATCTAGGAGAGAAAAGGGGCAGAGTGGTCACAGGCAGCGAATGCACACCTCCCATTCCCCTTTAAAAGCTCCAACCCCCTTTTAAGCTCCTCCAGGGAATCTTCCTGTTCCCATTAGTCTGTGAACTCCAAGAGGAAAGCAAGAGTGGCTAATGTCTGTAGTGTCCAATGCTGAATCCCTAGTCATTCATACATACAGACACACTTAATTGAGACAGTCCCCCCCCCCCCCGAAGCTGTCTATAGCTGGGGGGGGGGGTCCTTCAGGAAGCTTAGATTCCCCCTTTGTTTCACATCCTTCCTTTATGGTTGTGTTGGGACTCTGGAGGCAGAGCTGGGTAGTGTAGGCTTCCAGAGGGAACTGACCCCCAGTGGAGGGAGCCCTCAGTGCAGAAGGAAGCAGTGGGTGTACATAAGGGTGATGATTGGGAAAAGGGGAGCCTGGAATCAGCCCAGGGGCAGCACAGGTTCTGTCCAGCAGGGGGCACTCCAGGGCAGCCCATCCCCACACGGAGAAGGGCGGCTAGAAAAGGTCAGGAAAGGAAGCTGATGCCCAGGAAAGTAAGAGCCCAGTCCCTCCTCTGACCGTCGTCACCATCCTCCTCGGACATGATAGCCACGCACTGCTCCCACACCGTGCGCACGTCGGCGCGGTAGCGCTCGCAGGACCAGATGAAGGACGGCAGCAGCAGCGTCTGTGCCATGGAGCACCACAGCACAGCCAGCACCATCCATGGGGGAGCGGAGTCCGACTTAAGGGAGAAAAAGCTCACCACCTGGCGGAAGGACAGGAGAGGCCCTGGTCAGGGCCCAGAGCTGAGGAGTCTCACTCGACCCCAGATCCCACATCCCAATGTAGCTGGGGGGCAAGAAGTCAGGAGGGGATGGCTCAGTGTACATAGGATCGCGACAGAGGCAAAGTTGAAGGATGAAGACGATGAACAAAGTGGGAGGGACTGACTCAGAGGAAGGTCAGGAGACAGTACTGGGAACAGAGCCCTGGGGTCCAGAGGGAGGGAGCAGAGGCGGTACAGTAAACCTGAAGACAGATTGAAATTCAGGAATAGGGACCAGATGAGGATGCAGAAGGCTGGGGTGGGTGGGGTGAGCTCTCTGGGGTTGCCACCAGAAGTGCTCAAGATCCTGTTGTGTCTAGAGGGAATTCAGGAGTGGAGAGTGGAGCCTGGCAGCTGGATGATAGGTCTGGGGCACTGAATAGTGGAGCTGCAGGATAGATGGTGGAGCCGGAAGACAGGGAGTGGAACCCAAGGACAGATGATGGAGTTGAGTACTGGTAACTGGAGAACAGGCTACAGAGCTGAGGGTAATGGAAACTAGAAGATGGATGACGGAGATGGGGACTCACAAATGCAGTGGGGTTGGGGAGAGGAGGGAAGATAGATGATGAAGCTGCTTGTGTGGCTGATGGAGTTGGAGGTCAGGTGATCATGCTGGGGCCTGGGTATTGGAGAGAGCAGGTGGAGGGACCCCAGTCTCACCAAGATGGGCACCCCTGTGAGTGAGTCATAGAGAAAGACGATGGCGCTGACCAAGTTGGTGACCTGCAGGGATGTCTTGGCCGACTCGGAGCCGTCCAGCGAGGATCGCCGCTTCCCCCGGGCATCCTCCACCACAATGGCTGGCACCTCAAAGGCTGGCCGGGTACCCAACCCCCCTGGCCCGCCCCCCTTGGCCCCACCCCCGCCCCCCGCTCTCCGGGCCTGCCGAGCCCTCCGGGGCCGGGCCCACAGCGTCTGGTAGAAGGTGATGGCCACACAGACCAGCCCCATGACAATGCCCCCAAGTAGCAAGAGGCTGAAGCAGACGCCAAAGCCGAGGCCAATCTTGGAGACTATGAACTGGCAGCCGCGGGCGTAGTAGCGCTCTCCGTTGTTGTGCCAGCCGATGGAGGGCAGTGTGGAGAGGATGAAGCTGACCATCCAGATGCCCATGACGGCGTGCAGCGCCTGCTTCTTGGCGTTGCTGAGGCGGTAGTTGACGGGCCAGCGCACCATCCACATGCGATGGTAGGAGAGGGAGGCGACCGTAAAGCAGGTGGCCAGGGCCAGGGTGTAGTAGGTGGACACAAAGACCTTGCAGATGCTCTCGTTCCAGTCATAGTCGGAGGAGGCCTGGCGCCGGAGCTGCACCACTGCGAAGGTGGTGAGGGGCACAGCCGCCATGAGGATGTGCGTGCCCGCCAGGAAGCAGAGCAGCAGCTCCAGCGGCTTGTGCTTCTGCTGCTTAGCTGAGATGCTGAGGATGATCCAGGCATTGGCCAGCAGTGCCAGGAGCCCGCAGGCCAGCCAGGACAAGGCGTTTGAACGAAGGGAGGCCTCCTCCGCCCCCGCCCCACCCCGAGCCATCCTTCCTCAGTCCCCCCACCCCCCTCGAACTCCTGGGGGTGGGGGCTAGGTCTCACCCAGGAGCCCCACTCACACACACCCCCATGATGCCCACAACCCTTGCCCGGGAGTGAGGCAGGCTGCCCCTTGGTCTACCCTGCGGCTCAGCATTGCATGTCTGACCCAGTTAAGGTCAGGTGTTGCAGGCAGAGGAGGAGACTGAGGGTCAGCAGAGGTCGTCCTCAGCCTCCATACTGGGTGGGGCCCCTTCTGAAGTAACCCTACAGTTGACGGGGGAGGCAAGCTGACTGCTTCCCCAGCTGTGAGGCTGGTTGCAGAGACCTGGTCCCCATGCCAGGACGTCCAAGTCTTTTCTTCCTCTGGTTCTTGACCAATCAGGGCTCTTCTGGGTGCCCCCAGGGGTGTGTGTGGGGGGGAGGCTCAGCTGCCTGAACAGACTGCAAGGGAGAGATGAGATGTAGGAGGGGGAGGGGAAAGATGGGGCCTAGGCTGCTCTCTCATTGGTTCCCAATGTCTCCCTTCTCTTGAAACTATAGAAATGACTGGTTACTAGGGGTCACAGGGTCATTCTCCTGCCTTAAACCAGATGGCTACTCCAACACCCTACACAGATAAGAACCCCGCTTTCCAGAACTTATTCTGACCTCCTGTCTCCCATCCTTTGTCAGCCATCTTTCCTCCCTCTGGGGCTCCCAGGTCCCTCCTTCTGTCCCTTGCTCAGTCCTACTCAACTGTTGTCTTCATCCCTGAATCTTTCTTCAGAGCTATGGATGGCAGAGGCATGACTTGTTTCTCTTCGAGGACTCATAGGAAACTGGGATGTGATATTACAGCCCCTCCCCAACCTTCCAGGCTCCTGGGTCCAGTGGTCCTGGTGCTCAGCCCCATCTCCCCGAGCCTGCACAATCACCCTCCCACTCACTGGGAATCTGGGAAGACAGGAGAAAGGAGGCTGGGACCAAGGAGGGGGGTGGCTAGGGAACCCAAAGACAGGGAAACCGCTGACATCAGAAGCATCCAGAAATGGAAAGAGGGGAAACTAGGGGGGAAGGAGGAGAGTTTGAGCAGAAGAGATAAAAAGAAGGGGCAAAGTGAGTATCTGAAAATGGAAGGAGAAGCCCAGAGACCCCCGGAGAGGAGGCTTTGCAGGGAGAAGGAGGTGAATGGAGGGAGGGAGCAGGGAATAAAGAGGCTGAGAAGAAAAGCCCAGTGTTCACTAGGGTTCAGACTCCCCCTGGTAGGACCCCACTCTTTCCTCCCCTGCCCCAGCCTCAGTTTCCCTCCGATGGGAAGAAGGATGTCCTGCCTTTGGTGATTCCTGGCTTCACTGAGCCCTGGGAAGGGGGCTAAGAGGAAATTGGGGGTGAAACCCTGAACAGAGTGGAAGCAGGAAGGATGGGCATAATGGGGTAAAAGGGATAAGAATGGGGCACATCAGTGGGAGGGTCTATTTCCTATGGAAGAACCTTAGACTCCTGCCCTCCCTCAGAGGTCCTAGTCCATCCCCCACCTTTGTCTTCCCTGGGAGCCCAGTACACCCTAGTTGCCATGGCAATGGCCAGCCAGAGGGAGGTGGAGGGAGTTGGTCAGGAGCGCCCCCCCACACCCTCTCCTACAGCCTTGGACCCCCTTCCCACCCACCCCCACCCAGGCCCCGGGGGTGGGTTCAGGAAGAAAGAGCTGGGGACTCAGGGAGGGCGGCAGGAAGGATGTGAAGGACAGAGAGAGGAGGTGAAGGACGGAGAAAGATCAGAGGAAGGTGGGAGGGGTCGGGGGACTCCCAGGCAGACAGGGGTCCCTCGCCCTTTGGGGTGAAGTGGGTAAGGTCAGAAGGCTCCTCCCTCCTGCCTGCCACCCACCGAGGTCTCCAGGCCAGAGACAGCAGGTGGCTGGGAAGGAAGGGCCGGCCCGAGGGGAGAGGAGGCAGCGGGGGCAGTGGGGAGGGGACCGCGGGGGGCAGGGCCGGGGTCGCCTTACCTCGGGCTGCGCCCAGCACTGCCTTGGAGAGCGCACTCCCGACGCGGCTCGCCCGGGCTCCCGCCGCCTGCCGGCTCCAGCTCGCCGTCCTCCTCCCCCCTCCCTCCGCCCTCCGGGCCTCCCTCCTCCCGCACATCCCAGCCTCTCGGGCTCGGCCCCACTAGGTCTCTCCGAGCCCCTCTCTCGCGGATTCCCGCCGCCCGCCGCCCGCCGCCCCGGGTCGGGATGGAGGCCAGCTTGGCGGGGCGGGGGACCGCACGGTGGGGACTGGGAGGGGGAGGGGCGAGGAAGGCGCCAGGAGGGAGGGGGCGAGGAGGACAGCGGGGAACCGGCTTCATTGGCGAACCGGCTGGTGTCCTGCCCCCACCCCACCCCGTTTTCCTCACGAACACAAGCTCGAGGAGGCAGCTGGTGTTGGGGAGGCAGTGAGTGTGTCTGTAAGGGCTGTGCCTGGGGTGTAGCTCCACGGGCAGGTGCTGGAGGCTGTGCGGAGTGAGGGGCGGTGGGGATGAAGGCCAGGCTGCTTGTGGGATGGGGGTACACAGGGCTAGAAGAATGCATCCCCCCATACACACCGCTGCCTCTTCCTGGAACACAAACTCACACTGGTGTTGGGGACACACACATTTCTCCCACACGCATCGCAGTTTCTCATGAGTAGAGCACACAGCCCTGCAGTCTCTCTCCCTCAGTTGCCACACACCCACCGCACACTCAGGGCCCTTTGGGGTGGGGACGTGGGTAATCAGTCTCCAAAGGATTTTTCCCTCTCTAGGGAAATTCCATCTCCTTTCTGAACGAGACTGGCAACCTCTCCCCCTCTGGATCTGATCCCAAAGATCAGAAGCTTCCAGGTCTCCAGAGAAGAGTCTGTCTCTCTCTCTCCCTTTCTCTCTTTCATACACACACACAAACACACACACACACACACACAGAACAGCATCTTCTTTACTGTAAGTATGTTGTTATTTTTCTCTCAGCACAGGAAGGCAGGGGTGGGGAGTGGGCAGGAATACAGAGCAAGCCATGGGGAGCCCTGACGGCAGCTGGGTGTTCTTCCTGGAAGAGGCAAGCTGGAAAAGGAAAAGGAGGTAGGGACTGCAGGAGGTAGTGAGGAAGGGAAGGGAGAGAGAGGGACAGAGGAGCTGGGGGTCCTGAGAGAAATGGATCAGGAGAGGAGGAAGAAGAAAACTTGGAACCCCAATTTTCTTGTGTCCTGAGTGGTTTGGGAGAGGGATGAAGGAGGGTGCAGGGCAGGGGGACCAAGGCCCAGGGCTGTCAGCCTTCACAGGAGGTCCCCTCAGAGGGTTCAGTCTTTGGCCAGCTCCCCACCCCTTCTCTCTGGCAAAGTTCACCTTCCAGAAGGTTCTGCACAAGGTGAGTAGTGGGTCGCTGGACACTCTCCCCCACAGGCCCTGTGCTCCCAGCCTGTGTCCTAATTAGGAGAACTGCCGGTTTTGTGCCCTGGGAACAGGGAGGCTGCCAGCAGGTGAGGCAGGGAGGCCCTCCCGCAGGTTCCTGAACTCTCTGAGGCAACCTCCCTGTGCTGGAGGGCTCCTGTGAATCCAAGTACATGCTGGGCATCTATGACTAGCCAGCTGCAGAGATCTGTGTGGTATTTGTCCCCGTGTTCAAGAGACAGCAGTGGAACCAGAGGGCTGGAGTCCTGGCTAGTCCACTTACTGGCTGTGTGAACCAGGGCTATCATCTGCCCTCTCTGAGTTCCATTTCCAGTCTGTCAGCTGGAGATGCTAATCTCGATCCTGTCACCACCAGCCTTGTAGGATGTTCATGAGGTTCAAATAGACAAAGGATGTGAAACTGGTTTATAAACCGAGCCGTGCTGCTTGGGTGATATGGAGTTGTGTGTGCGCACAAGCGTGCCTGGGTGCCTGTCTGTGTCAGGTAAGGATGTGAATCTGTGTTTCTGCCAACGCAGGGGGAGACAGGTAGAATGGAGCAGAGCAGGCTGGCAGTCAGAAGCCTTTGGATCCTGAACTCTCCTTGACTGCGTGTGTGATCTGGGGCTAGTCCTTGCCGCCTCTGGTCCCAGGGTCTCCTCCCGTACAGTGACAGGCCTGTGCTTCGTGCTTCAGACACCCAGCCTCCCCCTCCAGGCCAGGCAGGGCTGGTCCCACATGCGCCTCTGTGATCCAGGTGAGCAGTGAGGGAGAGAGTCGAGAAGAAATCAATGAAGGGCCAGAGTTTGAGCAAAAAGGAGATGGGGAAGAGAGGGTGCCAGCGAGCCTCTGGAAGAGGAGAACCAAGGCCTACAATGGAAGAGGAGGGCAGGGGGTGGCCAGAGGCACTCAGTGGATTACATTCATCTGGTCTGCAGGCCCAGGAAGGCAGGGGAAGACAGCTGGGGATGCTGCAGGTGGAACCTCCTCCTGGCCGGGGCCTCAAGTGAGATTATAGGTCTTCTGGAGCCGGCTGGAGGGGCAAAGAAAAAGAGGAGCAAATCTGTTCCTCCCCAGCTCCTTGTTGCCTGGGGCCTCCATGGCTCCCAGACCCCAACTTTCTCTTCCAGGGCAGGGATGGCCTCCAGTGCCACAGCCAGGGTACCATATCCAGACATACCCAGGCCTGCTGGCCCTCACCTCTGTCCCCCACCTCTACCTGTTTCCTACCTCCTGGGCCACCCCTGCCCCCTTCTCACCTCTCTTCACCTCCCTGTAGCCCCCATCTCCTCCCCTCCCCCCACGTGCCCCTCCCTTTCCTCTCTGCCCCTCAGCTCCTTACTGGCGACACTGGCAGGTCTTCTTCTCACTGAGGAGTCTCTTGATCTGAGACATCCGCTCTGCCTGGCGCTGTCCAGGGAGAAGGAGAGGGGTCATGAGGGTCCCAGGCCTCCGAAAGGGAGCTGCCCCTTGGAGGGGGGAGTGGGGAGGGCTGAGAGGGGAGAGGCAGTGCCTGTGGCCATCTGTCCCAGAATTCCCTCTGCTCCTTCCTGTCTTTCCCTCCGCATGGGACCTGGGACAGGGCCCAGCCTGCAGTGAGGGAGCTCGGCAGTGGGCAGCGGGAGCCGGAGCAGAAGCAGGTCACAGATCCAGGGTACCCTTGCTGCTGGACAGGCCTCCAGGGCTCGAGCTCCCCGTGGGGTGTGAGGGGGTCTGAGGAGGCTCACTCACCCTGCGGCGCCAGCACTTAACACAGAGGACGCAGAACCCCGTGAGAAGCAGGAGGCCTGTGATGCCGCCCAGCACGAAGGCCAGGAGCTTTGGCCAGGCCTGGGTGAGCACGGGAGGCAAAACTGCAAGAGAGAGAGGTGTGTGAGCTCACTGCCCTCCGGCAGGGCACAGGGCACCGTGGAGGGCCCGAGGAAGGCTTTGCTGCCCAGCTGCACTTTAGTCTGATCCTTGGGCTGGAAGAATGGGCAGGATGCTCAGGGCCGTCCACCAGGGCTTGAAGGGAAAGGCTGGGGAAGTGGTTTCAAGGTTTGGGACTACAGGGCACTCCAGGGAGCCAGAAGCTGCAGTCCAGGCAGTGTGCTGTGCGCATGCGTGTCTGTGTATGTGGGGGCGGGGGGCGGGGATCTGTGTGTGTCTGGGTTTGAAGAGGAGCCAGGGAGGAGGGCTCTTGGCCAGGTGGGCCCCGTTCCTGGGTTGTACAGCTTAGGGAGGTGGGAACTTACAGGACTGCAAGAGCCTAGGACCACACCCCACCTCCCCTCACCTGGACTCCTGTGTCCAGGCACCTGCCTATAACCCACTCATCTCAGAGGAACTAGGTGGCTGGGTGGTCACAGCCCTGGGAGGGTCCTGCAGCCCTCGAGGCAGAAGCTCAGGGTTCAGACATGGAACCTGGACCCTCACTCACCCTCGATCTTGGATTCCAGCAGGACTTTGTCCTTGTCACTCAGTCGACACTGCCACATCCCTGCCTCAGGGTCCAGCACCGTCACCAGCTTCTGCTGATTTGTAACCTTCGCGCTCTGGTTCTCCAGCTTCAAGCTCAGTGTCAGCTCGGGGGACTTGGGTCCCAGCACCTCACAGATCAAACTGTTCTGGGACTTAGTCACTGCAGAGAGACAAGAGCCTGAGGCTGGGAGCCTGGGCCCCTGGGTTCCCAGCACCTCCGTGCTCTAAGGGGATTCTGCAGAACAATCAAAATGATGCTTTACACCAGCACCCCTCTTTCAGCCTCTCAGAGCACATTTTCATGCAGTTTTAAGAGAGGGGATGCGGCTTTTGAGGTTCAGCAGTGTTGGATTTGAATCCCAGCCCCATTGCTTACTATCTGTGTGTCCCTGAGCAAGTTACTTACCAACCTGAGCCCCAGATGATAATTTAAAAGGACAAATAATATATAAAGCTCTTGAGTGGGGCCTGGCATGTACTAAGCATCCAGTCTTCGCCGTTATTATCTGAGAGGTTATTATGATGACGAAGGAGATAAGGATGTGCAGGCCTCCGTGTAGCTCCTGACCTTAGCATCAGCAGTGTCATACAAAGAGCAGATTTCGTTATCCTCTTTAGGAGAAAGAAAACCCACAGGGGGGCGGGGCTGAGTTGGGGTCAGAGCGGTCTGGATAGACGCGGAACTAGAACCTGGTTCTCAGCACTTGCCCTTGGGAGTTCTAGTGGCGCCCACTCTAGGCTGGCTCTTGGATGTCAGGGAAGGACAGCGGATTCCAGCCTCAGTTCAAAACCAGCCCCCAAACCAGAGGGCCCTTGATCAGCTCCATCAGGCAGGCAGGGCTTAGGCGTCCTTGTCGGGGCCTGTCCTGCCCTCCCATCTCAGCCTTGCTCCTCACCTCTCATCACCACAAGGTTCACTTCCTGATGCAACTTCCTCTTCCCCTGGGTGAGAACCAGGGTCAGGTTTCCAGAACCCGCGCACTGTGGCAAAGCCTGGGGCAGAGTGAGATGGAGCGGGAGCCTCTCCCTCATCTGGAGCTTGAGGTCCTTGTGAACCGTTTCCACAGACACCTTCATGTTCTTCAAGGAGAATGTGATCCAGGACTCGGAGGAGGAAACCCTCTTCGCCGGCCACCACATCAGCTGCCCACTCAGGCTTTCGTCTTCAAAGGTGAGTGGGAAGGAAAACACCGCCTGCTCCCTCTCTTTCACATAGACTGTGCTAGAGACCTTCTGGAAGGCTGGAGCGGGGAGGGGAGAGAACCTGGGTCCATACAGGGCAGGGCAGGCACGCTGTGGGGGCAGCCCGGAGATGGAAGGGGACCGGGTGAGTCCAAACACCGAGGCTACCATTCAGGCCCTTAAATGCCCCTCTACCTCTCTATCTCCTCTCTCATCTCCCATCCCAGGGGGTCCCGTGGCAGTGCCTCCTCCTCCTAGAAGCCCTCCTGGAACAGTCCAGCCAAAGGGGCCTCTCCGTCTTCTGGATCCTGGAGCACAGAGGGCACTGGGCCTGTGCCACTTGGATACATAATTTATCAGCCTCACAAGATAAGAGCAGATACTTGAATCGGGCTGACCACGTGCCTTCCATAGTTTACTTCTCCCCATAACATGATAAAGTAGGCTCCACCATCCCTGCTTTCCAGATGCGGAAACCAAAGCCCAGAGGGGTTCAGCAACTTGCCCCAGGCCACATGGTTAAGTCAGAGCCAGGATTTTAACCAGAGTCCACGCACTTCCCCACTGCACTACTGTACTGTGTGTCACAGAAGCACCCAGAGGACAGGATCTGGGCAGAGCCTGCCTTCTGGGCCCTGGGTTTCCCTCACAGCACCTAGCTCAGGATTCTGAAGATGCGACATCAAATTTCATCAGAGCTGGCTTGCTGCCATTAGTGTCCCTGAGTTAGTGGATTGCCAACTTGGTTGGGGGGCAGGGAGCTGAGGCAACAAAGAAGATAGATGCGCTTGAATTTCGTCCTCTGGGGACTCCTCTGGGGATCTTGGAGCCCCTCACATCCTTACCGCCTCTGTCCCTTCCTTCCTCAGGGTCCACTACCCTGAAAGGTGAGTGTAAATCAGCTCCTTGAGGAAGAGAGGACCCAGCATACCCCTCAGGACAGACTTCCGCTCTAGGGGGCCCTGGCATTGGCCTCTCTCTGTCTCCCCCCACCCCAACCCAGGAGCAGAGCAGTGAGAGCCGAGGGAGGGTCTGTCAGCCACCAAGGCAGGGGGAGCCTGCAGGGGAGGGGAGCGCCTCTCACCCAGCACCAGGATGTTCCTGGTGAACACCAGTGTCTGCTGGTCCTGGGAGACGGTGCACGTCCAGGTGCCGCTGTCCTGCAACCCCAGCTGGGGCAGTGACAGGCTCTTGCCCTCCTTCCTGCTTCTGTTCCCCGGACCCTTCCATTGCACTGAAGGGTTACTACCGGAGGGACTCTCCAAGGTCAGGGTCAGGCTCTGCCCCAGCAGCACGCGGTCGGAGCTGGCAGTCACTGTGGAGGGAGCAGGCTGCCTGTGTCACACACACACTACCCCCAGGAGAAGAGAAGAAGCCAGGAAACCCAAAGTGTCTCTCCATTACTCCGTCCCAGCATCACCCTTCTGTCCCTTCTGCCCGCCCCCATCCAAGGCAGGGTTTCCCTCTCCCTCCACTCCCCTCTTCCCTGTCTCTCTTGCCTCTTTCTCTGTCTCCTGCCTTCCTCCCCACTCCATCCCTCATCCCAGGTCTCTTTGTCTCCCTCTGCCCGACCCAAGGCCTGAGAAGGGTTTGAGGAGACATGGTAGCCTGTCTGATCAGTCTCTGGACATTAGGGTGCCACCGGCTCAGGCCCTGGTTTGGGTACAGGGCTGGGAGTCAAGGCAGAAGAGAGACTGGCTGGAGGCGTCCTTGTCCCAGGCCTGCCCCACTCACGTCTGAACACCAGCAACTCCACCTCTGTCTTCTTGCCCCCCGCTTCACAGATGTAAGTCCCAGAGTCTGTTACTTCAAGATCCTTGATGATCAGAGGAAAGGATCCTTGGTCCCACAGGTTTTTTTTTGATTCTACGCGAGCGCGCAGCTTGGAGGCACCTGGGAGAGAACACCATATGGAGGAGGCTGTGGTACCCTGGAGACCCAGCACCTCTGGCCAGGGCAGTGCCCACAACTCTTCTGATCTGAGTTGCCAATTTCTGGCAGAATCTGCCCCTCGTCCTAATCTGAGAACCCCAGACTGGCGAGGAGGTCCCAGGACATTCATTTACCTGGCCAGGACAATATCTCACTAATCCCAAATAAACTAATATCCTCATTTAGGGAGCACCAACTCCTACGTGCCAAATACTTTATATGCATCATCTCAAACAATCGAATCACCATGCTGTACACAGGAAACGAATATGACATTGTCAGTCAACTGTACGTCAATAAAATTTTTTTTAAATAATAATAATTTTTTAAAAAGCAACATGTGCTGTTTTGTTTATCTTGCAGATAAGGAAACTGAGGCTCAGAGAATTAAGGTGTCGCCCAAACTCTTGCTTACATATTATCAAAAGAAGCATAAACCAGTACAATTTCTTTGGAAGGTAATTTGGAATAGCTACCAGAATTATAGAGGCACATACAGAACTAAATGTCCACCAGGAAGGGAGAGGTTAAATAGATCAGAGGTCAGCCATTCAGTGCGATGCAATCAGTAGAAGAGGGTCTTTATATACTGAGATGGAATAATATCCAAGAAACATCACTAACTGAATAAAGCAATATCTACCATTGTTTTAAAAGGAGGGAGAAGGTTATTTGTCATCTATCTACCTATCCATCCTGCCATGTCTATAAACAAGTATTTCTAGAGGTGAACGTAAGATGATGGTCACCTTGGCAGTCCCTGGAGAGAGGAAGTGAACACCCTGAGACGGCTGTGGGAGGGGCTTTTCACTTGCCCTTTTCTACCTTTCGGATTTTGACTCCAGTAAGTGGTGGAACCAGGATCAAAATTCAGGCCTGTTGGGTACACAGTACAGTACTGTCTCTGGAAAGTTCCTCAGGCACGGACATGTGGCCTCCTCCAGTGTCCTCCTTAAAACTAACAACCATCACCAAGAAGAAGCTCTTCTCTTCAGCTGAAATTTTCTGGGTACAGCAGCAGCTCCAGGATTCCTGGAGAGGAGGGCTTTAGAAGCTGAGTTCACGTAGCCAACACATGGCCTTTTCCTTGGAATGCATGTTTGGAGGGATGGGGTGAAGGCGGCTGAGAGAAAGCCCCCCACCTCAACCCCCTGGCACTGCCTCTACCCCCGCCCCCCCCAAGAGGTCATTGGTGCTCTCCCTATTTTGGCCTTGATGAGGAGAGGAGTTATCAGCCTTCATCCTCCCTTCTCCCCTCCTCCAGACCTCCCAGCCCCTTCCCACTGCTTAGGCTCATCCTCTCCAGGAGACCTTTCCAGATAACCCGTAGCCCTGGGCTCACACCCAACCCCAGCTTTCCCTCCAGCCCTCACCCACCTCCCCTTCCATCTATCCTACAGGAGTCCCTACCCTACCTGCTCTCTCCCCTGGGTCTACGCGCTGGCTAGCTCCCCAGTTTTTCTGAAGTCCTACTACAGTCCTTTCACAATCTACCATGCTTCTTGAGGGAGAGCCTTCTCTGGTTCTGCCTCCTTCTTGCCTCCTTGGGTTCTCTCCTGCATATCTAAGCACCCTTCCCTTGTCTTCATCTGGCACTCCTGTTCTGCTATCTCCGTTAGATGCCACCTTGGACTCTGTTCTGGATCCTCTTCCCCATCTCTGTAGACATTCTAAATTCCACAGCATCCTCTGTCAGCTCCGCAGGTGACTCCCAGCCCCAGCCTCTCTCCTTCACTCTGGGCCCACATTCCAGTGGCCCAAGAGACAACTTCTTCTGGGTGTCCTGCCATCACTCCAAACTCAGTTGGTTCAAAATGAGACATATCACCCTTTCCCTAAAATAACTTTTCCTCCTTGCTTCCCTTTTAAAACGTCTTCTGGGCTCATCATGATCCCCTTGTGCAGACCGTTCCACACTTTGTAAAAGTGACGGTACTCTGTGAAAGGTCGAAGAGTATGGGTGAGTCTGGGATCATTTCGTGGAGGAGACCAGTATTGAACTAAGCCCTAAAAGGAGTACAGGCAGCAGACTAGAGGCAAGGGGAGCAGCAGGGACATCTAGGAAGGAGGAAAAGCTCCAGGAAAGTAGCACAGGCAACCAGCTCAAGGCAGGGAGGAAAACATCCGGGTGTGGAGGTTCCCGGCAGCGGAGCTGCAGGAAGAGATGCTGAGGAGGTGACAGTCTGGCAGAGGCTTCCAGGCTTAATCTAATGGGCGAAGGAGTGACAGGTGCAAAGCATCACTTTGGAAGCCAGGGCTGCAGTAGGTGTAAGGGAATCAAGGTAGCAGAGACTAGCAGAGAGAATGGTCAGGAAGCTTCCACTGTAATCCAGGTGAGAGCTATGTGGCCTTGGCTCGTGATGGTGGTATTTCCATGAGAACAGAGGAGATGAAACAGAGGAACACTTCCATGGGAAGGAATGGCCATAGTCAGTGACTGATGGGAAACCAGGGACTGAAGTAGAGAAAAATACCTGACTCTGGGGTTCAGAAATTGGAGGAGTCAGGAAGATCAGGAAGTTGGGAAGAGGGGCTGTTCTGGAGGAAAATCATATCACAGGAACAGAAGAAAAACATTGACACAAAAGAGGTAAGAATTTTTAGAAAGGAGGACATTGTTCCAGTCTCACAGGAGATCATAGAAATGCAAATTAAAACAACTGTGATATATTTTTCAACCATCAAATTAGCGAAAAAAAAGAAGTTTTAGATAATACTGCTCAGTGCCAAAGGGTGCTGTGGGGAGAGGCACATGGGGACACTATTATCTAGATTTACTGTAAGTGGGTGGAACCTTCCTGGAAGAGATCTTGCCATATACACCAACTATTTTTAAAAGTGCATATCCTTAATTCCATTTCTAGAACTTTATCCTTAAAACAATAATTTTAAAATGCAAGCCCAAATGGAGGTACAAAAATAATTACAGTGTTGTTAACAGAGGACAACATTACACAAAATGACGATGGCTATATATCACAGTATATTGACTTGATGGACTATTAGGTTAGCACTAAAAATGATATTTAGAAATAATTTTTCATGAAAGGGAAACATTCATGAGTATACATTTTCAAAGTTGTGTTAAGGGTGGGAGGGTATAGTTCAAGTGGTAGAGCGCATGCTTAGCATGCACAAGGTCCTGGGTTTAATTCCCAGTACCTCCTCTAAAAATAAATGAGTAAATTAACCTCGTTACGTATCCCCCAACAAAAAACCTAAATCAATAAAAGTCCCTGTTCAAAAAAATTTTTTTAATAAATAATTTGAAAAATACATAACGTTGCGTTAAGATAATCCTTACTTTTTAGGTTAGTTATTTGAACTACAAAAATCATACAGACTCAACACTACCCTGCTCCCTTGGCCCACCCTCCTGACACTACTGGAAACAATTTGATGTGGATTCCTCCATGTTTTTTTCTTTGTCCATGAAGACATATAGTCACAGGCATTGAATTTTTAAATTCACATGGGACCGTATCACATGCATAGCTTGCTTTCCACTTGACAAAATGTGCTTGTCATCCTTCTAAGCGTACAAACGCGGAGTTTCTTCCTTCTTTTTGTTTGGTGTGTTCTGAAATTATGAAAGCTCGTTTTTTCACCCTAGTGATTTTTTAAATTAAACTTTTTATCTTGAGATAACTGTAGATTCCCATGCAATTATAAGAAATAATGCAGAGAGATCTCGAGTATCCTTGACCCAGGTCACCCCAAAGGTAATAGCTTACAAAACTAGCAGGGGGAGGGTAGAGCTCAGTGATAGACTGTGTGCCTACCACGCACGAGGTCCTGGGTTCAATCCCCAGTATCTCTATTAAAAATAAATAAATAAATAAACCTAATTACCTCTCCCCCCCAAAAACTAGAAAAAAAAAAACCCTACATAGCCCAATATCACGGCCAGGATATTGTCATTGATACAAATCAAAACACAGAACATTTCCAGCACCATAAGGATGTTGCTCTTTTCTAGCCAAACCCCCTTCCTCCTTCACAGACGCCTCCTTCCTTGACCCCTGGTAATCAATCACTAATCTGTTCTCCATTTCTGTAATTTGTCATTTTAAGAATGTTATATAAATGGAATTACACTGTATGTTACTTTTGGGGATTAGCTTTTTTTTTTTTTTCCCACACAGCATAATTCTCTGGAGAGTCATCCAGGTTGTTGTCTGAATCTATAGTTCGTTCCTTTTACTGCTGAAAAATAGTGCATGGTATGGATATAACCATTCGCCCATTAAAGGGCATCTGGGTTGTTCCAGTTGCTGGCTATTATGAATGAAGCTGCTATCAACAGTTGTATACAGATTTCTGTGTGATCGTAAATCTCTACTTCCCTGGGATAAAGGTCTAGGAATGCAATTGCTCGGTTGTTGCGTGTTTAGTTTGTTAAAGAAATTGCCAAACCGTTTTCCATACCAGCTGTACCATTTCACACTCCCACCAACAATGTAAGAGTGAACCAGTTTCTCTGCATCCTCACCAGCATTTGATGTTGTCCCTGTTTTTCATTTTGGCCATCCTGATATGTGTGTAGTGATACCTCATTGTGGTTTTAATTTGCATTTCCCTGACAACTAATGATGTTGAACACATTTTCATGTGCTTATTTGCCATCTCTATGTCCTCTTTGGTGAAATGTCTGTTCACGTCTTCTGTCTATTTCCTAATTGGATTGTTTGGTTTTGGGGTATTGAGTTTTGAGAGTTGTTTACATACTCTGGATACTAGTCCTTTATAGGATATGTAGTATGAATATATTTTCTCACATTTTATAAATTGTCTTTTCCTCTTCTTAATAAAGTCTCTTACAGAGCAAAGTTTTCAATTTTGAGCAAGACCAACTTGTCCATTTTCTCTTTTATGGATCATGGTTTTGGTGTCAAGTCTAAGAACTCTTTGCTTAGTCTAGATCCTAAAGATTTTCTCCTCTGTGTTGTAATTTTACATTT